GGGGGGGGGTGCCAGGCCACTGAAGCAGGGGAGATGTCAGTCTGTCAACTGAGAGAGAGCTTCAGGGTTTAATTTGAAAATGAGATACCGGCCGCCTGTCTGAAACCAGCTCATAGAAAGAGTCTGATGGCAGCAAAGCGGGGTATTTTTTAAAAGGCTAGTAGCAGAGGATCTTTAAAGAATCCATTGTTTATGTGTATTAGTCTCCACTGGATAGGAACTTGCCAGCTACCTGCAAAGCACTTGCATTTGCACTTGAATTGCAATAAACTGTAGGAATTTGAACTGATGATAGGTAACAGTTTTAATAGCCAAAATAAAATGTTTTAATGCAGACATTAAAATGAAAGCCATGTTGTCTAAACCTTACCTTGAATTTGAACTCACATTTCCTGGTTCAGAGTTTTAATTGTATAAACAGGTAGAGGTTATGAAACATGATGAAATAGGGTAAACATACTTGCCTATGTGACTCACAACAATATCATCTACACAGGTTCTACCCTAAGCAAGGTTCACTATGGTCAAAAGTAGTCTTTAAAGGAAGAGTTTCAGCTTTTACCTTTTAAGATGAAGGCTGATACCATGTTTCTGTCTCATGTGTCAAATGGGAAGAGATTTCCATGTTTTGACTTTGCAAGTGTTCACATCACCGGACAACTCAAGGCAGTGTATGATTGCAAAGTTGGCCATGTGCAGGTTACAAAATGCTGTGAAAACGGTGACAATGTGGCATATATTAAGTGGGGTTTTATTACAAAAGTGTGGGTTTTATTACCTCGAACAACAGACTGGCTGACACGAGGCTCATGTTTGTTTGGATTTCAGGCACTTTGCCAATTTGAATATATTGACAAAGTGAGTTTCCCAGTCATAATTATGACATTCATTTTATTTACAAGGCAGAAACTAGTGCAAGCATTTCCTAATTTGCAAAGTTGTTGATTCAAAATTTCTGTTTTTTTTCTGTGGTTCTTCTTTATGTCTGTATCTAAACATGCTAGGTCTTTATGCATTTATGTACTGCGTGTTGTCTGTTGTATTTTTAATGGCGTGTGCAGGATGAATTCCCCTTGAAGGGACAATAAAGTGAACATAATGATTTTTCAGCATTGGCATATAAAATGTTGCTGTGCACACAGCACATTAAGCAGCATTTTGGTGTGGAAAGTGTGACACCGATAATGTTTGCTCAGTGCTGTGCTCTGTTATAAATGAGTTACATACCTGTTCAAGCATCTGACATCTTATCTTTTTCTATCCTCTTATCTGGTTTTGTAAGTTTTTCAGCCAACACACACTGTAGTTCCCAGGAAAGAAAGCACAAAACCTTGCAGCAACTCGTGGACCTGGATTCCTCAGTGCTCAATTATTCATAGCTAGTGCACATACGTGAACATCATTAGTAGAGCTAATATAAATTAAATATTTGCATGGGTCAAACTTTGCTGTTTGACGGTGTTGATTGCTGCAGAGATGCGCACATACCAACGCAACCAAGCCTTCACTGGGAGAATCGAATGTTTGTTTTAGATATTATATCTGTTGTCTAATATACATTCAAACTCACGGCAGGTCTTGTACTTTATATTTGCTCAGGACTAGTCATACGACAGAGGCTTTAATCTCCAAACAAGACACTTTTGTGTTAGAAAAAACCCTCCCACCCCCTCACTCTCCACTTCCATAATCCCTTCTGTAATATCTCACATTGCCAGTGGCATTTGCCTCGTGCAAAATGGAGGATTGGATTACTAATGTTAGGAATGTAATTGAGGAACATGATTGAACATGTCACTTTGGTGTTTGCATTTGGTGGCCCAGCATGTTTTGTGATGCGTGATGGGTGGAATCACTACTCCCTTTTCTACAGTGGAGCCAGCCACGGGAGGCTCAACAGGATCAGAGCTGGTACCGACTCCAAATGTCTGTAAAACCAGATCAAAAGCGCTGGCTCGTCTCTCTGAAGCTGCTGCCCAGCTGACAAATCATCTTTGCTGGAAATAAGTTGCAAAAGAATTACAGCGTTTGTCTACTTTTGAGAATGTGAAAATACTGAGTAAGCTCTGCATACTATAGCTCTGTTTGGCCCCGTGGTGGAATTCAGACTTGTGTATGTCGGGCATACAAGCAGAGTTAAAACGCATTAAACTGAAGCTCAGGCAAAGCAAACAGCCACCATCAGCATTAACCCCCTGACTGCCTTTATTCACTCAGCTTGTTGTGGTCCAGCCAGTCACTGAGTGTTGTCTTTGATTTCAGTTTATGCTCCTCAGCAGTAGTTAACGGCGCATCATGTGGAGCTATTTGACAAACTGTTGTTCAAGAAGCATCAAAAAGTTGACAAATTAGTCAAGTAAAACTGCAGCACTGGCAGAGAAACAACAGAACGGCTGACAAAAGAGGAAAACACAAAATCCGACAAAGGCTTGTTTGTGAAAGGCGGCAGAAAGAGAACAGCAGAGCAAGCTAAATTGACTTTTAGAAAATAAAAGGCACCACAAAAATCATTATTTGCTCTTTGCCAAAGTGGCAGGTAGGGTATCACCAGCTCTTTGCAGCTGGCTGCTATTTATTTTCTAGCCTGACCAAGGTGGACCCACAACATGTAGCCACAAGCCCAGGACTCCAAAGCATTTAGGCCATGCTGTGCCTCAGGTCAGCACCTGTTGGTGTGATTGATGAAAGCTGCCACCTCCACGGCCTTCGTGCAGGTAGCCACTCACCACTGCCTTCTGCTCACTTCACTGTGAGCACTGAGGGGAACTTTACTCACATACAGTGGGGTTTTAAAAAGAATGTTTAATTTTCAACAGGCCCAGTTTATGACTTGAGAAAGAACAGTGACATATGACAAGCAGCAGATTGTTTGAGAAGCTGGAACCAGCAAACCTTCTGCTTATTTGCTTGCAAATGATAAATATAGCTGATTCATTTCTTTCAAATATAAAAAATGAAATGGATAAATTCCATTTCTAGGACTGCAACTAGAAAATAACTTTCAATCAAATTTCTGACTATTTTAATTACTCACTTTGTACTACAATCATCATGTTTTTTTGATCTATAAAATGTCGGGTAAACTCCCATTACACGTCCCCTTAGCCCACAGTGACCTCTTTATTTATTTATTAATCTTTATTTTGTACAACCAACAGTCCAGAACTCAAAGGTATCCACGTTACTATCATAGGTCACCAAGAAAGTCCCCAAATATTCACTATTGAGAAGTTGGATATCATGAATCTGAGCCATTTTCCCTAAGAAAAAAAAAAATTACTCAAGCTATTGATCAGTTATCAACATTGTTGCAGATTAATCTTCTGTCCTCCAACCATCAATCAGCATTATGATTGTTTCCAAAAATACATTGTTATACCTGTTTGTTCTATTAATTATTTAAGATTGCAAGCCACCTTGACTCAATGTAAATTTAAAGATAAATGGCCCGCTTGCTGTTATAAAATCCCAGCTAGACAATCTAAATAATTCAAGACAACGATACACAACGTGAGGCAGGCACACAAACCCGACCGCAGTCTGTTCCATTGGAGTCACTTGAGTTTATCTTACAAAACAATCAGCAAACCAACAAGATGTGGGTCACATTCTGAATCGAAAGAAGTTAAAAATAACAAACAAGGAAGTCCTTGTGTCTCTGCATTGAGGTTGGGTACTGGACAAAAGGCTGCATTCTTCCTCCAACCCACAAGTTGGATCTCCTCATGCTCAGAATTTCCATGGCTGCTGCCCTTATTTGAGACTTTTCAGTCTCTGCTGCTTTTAATATTCCCCGGTTCCCCCCTCATTAGGAACGAGGCATACTGTAGAAATTGTGACGTCACAAAAGTGGACTTTTCCAGAGGCGGGTGTTTCCCTTCAGGTGGGAGTGGTTACAGCTGAAAGGAGAAACTGTCCGCTCAATGCTGCTCTGTTCAACATTTTATACAGAAATTCCATACCTACATATTTAAAATGTTGGGCAGAGAGTTACCTATGGACTTACACACACTTTTAAGTGATCTGTCTGTGCTCCTGGGCTATCAGTGTGAGCGCCAAAACTCAAAAGAAATATAATATTTACAAGTTGTACAGGGAAACAACTTAAACAGGATTGCTCCGATTTTGTTCTAAATTGTTGTGTTTCTCATCATTTTATTCATGTCTTCTTTTTTGTCCAGCTTTGGGAAGCGATCAGCAGGCAGCCTGCGACGCGGATGTGAGTGCATCGTCCTGGAACCCTCAGAGATGATTGTGGTGAGTCCCATTTTTCTGACTTTTAGCACGCAAGTGTGAAAGGCATTACCTAAAACATACCAAGCAAGACACACAAAATAGAACGGTATATTTCCTGTCGTAGAACCACAGACAAATGCGGGAAATAATAAGATGCAGCAGCAGAGAACATGTAAAGTTCTAATAATAATTATTGATTTTGTAATTCCTTCATGTATTAAGAGTGATCTGCACCCACTCGGATCATCAGACCTACATTACCTACAGGAGAATATAGGTTCTTGAGCCTGTGATGGCCTGTACTAATCTGTCTAAGTGCTTCCTATTGAGATTTCATCACAGCTTTGAAGCACAGCTGTATTTAACTGTGTCTTTGCTGAAGTCCAGCACGTGTGGGGTGACCGGAGTCCGGGGCTGGTAGAAACTCTGATCCATTTCTATGGCAAATCAAATGTTGGCTCACAGAAGAAGTTGCTGAGAACAAATCATTCCTGTCTCAGAGGGCCACAGAAGCAGGAGGTAGCAGCACAATGCAATCATCTGTTGAACAGAAGCCCTCTGAGGCTTGCAGATCAGAACAGATGCGGTTCTGCTGATGATTTTGCACTAAAAGGGAGGCAGTATACTAGACACAGAATCCACGTTGTGCAGAATCAAAAGCAGCTGTCATTCATAGCCCAGTAAAATGTATGCACAGTATACTCGCTGCTCAACTTGACAGGGTAGGAGGTCTGGATAGTTTAATCCAAACTGGACTGGAGTTTTGTTTTAAGATCTTTGGTCATTCTTCTGAAAGTCTCCCACAGTTTTCATGGCGAATAGGACTGGTATTTATACGTTTGAGGTGATCGTGTCCACCAGTGAAAAGGGCCATTCAATAGAGCAGCAACTAACGATTATTTTCATTTCCTCCAATAATCGGCTCATTGCTATAAAATGTAATGCCCGTCACAATTTCCTGAAGCCGGTTCTGTTAACTGAGCCTGTATCAGCTACACACAAACCCCTCAGTAATAACACCCTCTGCTCTGCTTGCTGCAGACACTCTGGCCTTAATACCCCTTTGGCTATAATAGGTGCCAACCCACCCTGTAATTACTGAGGAGGGTTCTGTGTTGCTGGAATACAGATACTCATGACTAACCCCCCCCCCCCCCGCTACAAGTTTGAGGAGCACACAGAAAGATGCACACATGCAGACCTGCACTTACAAACATGAGCAAAAAGAAAAGAGAAAATAAGCTGCTCACGTGTCCGTACTGTACACACACACACACACGCACGCACGCACACATTGCTCCGAGATTTGCAATTAGACACAAAATCACACTTACGCTCTCGCTCGCACACAGCTCCCCTGCCGTTGTCATGGCAGCAGTTGGTATGGCAGAGAGATTTTAGTAGTGTAATCCCAAAGGCTGAGCGCTGTGAAATGTGAAGCTGCAGTGAAAGCAGCAAGCGAGAGGGAAGGAGGGATGGGTCCAAATGAAAAAGAATAAAAAAGAGACTTAAATATGTCATTCCACCATGACCCGAAGCCGCCAGGCAACAGAGCGATCCCATTAAAGTAGAATTTAACTAAAAATACGTAAGAAAGCTGTATAATGTGGCTTCACTGCTAGCTATGTTGAAGTGGCATCCTCTGCCAGTTTCCACTTGGAGTTTTTCCCCTCCTCCCATCATTAAAAATGGAAACATGGATTTTTATCTTGTTTTAACATGTAATTTCATTCCGTGGTTAATATGTTTAACAGAGGCAGAGAGTTGAGAGCGTCTATTTCATCTGCTGCTCTTTCACTCCATCCGACTCCATCTCTGTTCATCGCCGCCTGTCAATCAATATCTCTATCTCCCTCCCTCACTTCAGATTCCTCGCTCACCCCTGTGTTCCTCTCTTTCCCTGTCTCTCTTTTTGTGTTGTGAAAACCCTTTGACGTAGGTGTGCACCGCGCAGCCCACACACTCCTCTATTTTTACGCAATAAGAGGGGCGGGAGGCAGGGAGGAGGAGGAGGACGAGGAATGGGAGAAGGAGTATAGGAGGGTGTGGTTTTTGGGATGAGTGTGTGTGTGTGTGTGTGTGTGTGTGTGTTTGTTTTTTGGTGAGGGGAGTGGGGAAGGGCGTGAATGAAGATGAAGACAGTCACTCCCCCCTCTCTGTGTCTCCCACCCTCCCTATCATTTCCAGGTGGACTATATGGATGAAAATGAGGAGTACTTTCAGCGGCAAGCCTCGCACAGACAGTCCCGTCGGCGCTTTCGGAAGATCAACCAGAAAGGGGAGAGGCAGACAATCATCGACACCGTGGATCCGTACCCCACCGGAAAGCCGCCCATAGCCCGGGGGTACCACACGGTGAGTTGCACCCTGCGCTGGCAGTTTGGTGTTTACCGTCGCTGCGGTGGATCTCTGTGCGCTCCAGAGGCGGCTCAGTGTTGCTCTGTTGCCGTGTTGTGCTCTGTTTGTGTGTCACGCTCATTCCTCAGAACCTGTTGTGCAGTCTCGCTTCAGATCGTAGCTGAAAACGTCCCTGTTTAACCAACTTTGGGTTTGGTGGCCATAGCTGACCCTCGGTTGCGGGTTGTCGTGTTTTGATGTCTTGTGTCCTTTGGAAGAGCACCCTTATCCCGAGAGGGTGCGCTTCGATACTGTTTTCCTAATCCTTGCCCTGAGCTTTCCTCCCTGAAGTTGCTACACTTGTGTGTAATGTTTGAAGCTTGTGCCGGCTTTAGTGTGTCGATCTACCCTCTGTGTAATAAATGTTTTGTAGTTTGTTGAGCAGTTTGTTGCCTCTTATGCACCTTTTATATCTTGAATTTGCACATTAACACACACCTCACCATGCATCGCTTTAGCACTTCGTCTTCAGCTATCTTTACAATTATGAAGATGATTAAAATGGCAGCATATTGCAAAGCAAAGTCAAGGTGTATATGGTTACATAGTTCCTTTCATCTGTAGATAAAGTGAGAACAAAACTTTTATCATATCCATGTTGCTGTTTGATGATCATTGAACCAAGAGCAAAGGAAGATATTTAGTTAAACAAGTTAAAGCAGTGTTGAGAATTGGGACTCCAACAAGAGGTGTAAGATGAATGTAAAACTACTACATAACATAGGATGGTTTTAATGCAGAGCACTGAGGTTTTCCTGTTGAACATTTTAATGAAACATGAAATAAATATCTGTTAGTAGTGTCATTTTATCCAGAAAGTAAGATGACGAAGAGGAAAGTGGTTGACATTAAGAGTCCAGTATATTGTGATGTAATAGTTTTATACATAAGGACTATGTTGAGTGTTTTTGTAGACAATACTTCTAATCCTAATTAAATACTGTTTCAACATGTTAGAGGCTGGACAAACCAGCTCACTTTGGATTTTGGAGGATAGTTTATGATGTTGATGATGAAAAACGATGGCGTAAAGCCCGGTGTGAATCCAATCACAGTGCCATATCTGTGGAACAGTATTGACTTTAACCATGTGAAGGGCTTCCACACCAGCAGAGGGAGAGTTTGTTGCCCCGTTGCGTTGCACCAGGCTTTCTCCCCACTATGCTTCCTTTCCCTGGGAAAAGGAAGCGAAGCATTTTCACACTAATGATCCAAATAACCCAGCATGCAGTTGTTACACACAGTTTTTCCTGTTCTGCACAATTTCACTGCATTCCCTTCATTCCTGACGCTCCCCTGGGGTTTCTGTCCGTGTACCCAGTTCTTCTTGGAACACTATGAAACAATCACACTTAAAAAAGGAAAATGCGGCAAACGTCATCTTCCTCCTGCCTCCCTCCAGCCCCACCCTGTTTCCTAAATTTAGACTCGCTGTGTTTGAGTTTCAAAAGACTGCACTGAACTTTCTCATGGCCCGACATCTCCCGTCACACACTCGACTCTCCTCGCTCTAGTACCGTTCCTGTGGGAAGGATGGAGCGGGTGCCATGGCAACCAGCAAGTCCCAAATGGGCTGTGCTCAAGTGCACTTAGAAGTACAGTAGGGAAGGGAGCTAACTTAGCAGGAGTGCAGTACGCCGCCGTTGCTGCTGTGCTGCTGCTGACAGGGGTGGAGGGGAGCAGAGCGACAGAGAAGCTGAATCTGGGCGGATGCTAAGCTGACATAGCGGGCTAATCTCCAGCCTTTAGAATGCCAGGCACCACTCAGATTTTCCTCCCTCCTACCCCGAGGCATATTTAGGAGGTGAGAAATGCACCGAGGAGAAACTTGGGATTGAAGAAAGGAAATCTCTCCGGCAGGCAAGGTTTTTATTCAGCTTAGTCACTCCTGTGAAGGCAAATGTGGGGCTAGGTGTGAAAACATCAGAGGAGCCAGAGCTCTTCCAGTGTGACAGATACTGTAGAGAGATCTGTTTTATTTAGGGCTCATGTGCATATTTTCATTGTTGATTACCTTGTTGATTAATTCTGATTGTTTAGTCTATAAAAGGACATGAGATAGTGAAAAATGGCCAACACAACTTCCTGTTTTGTCCAATCCAATCCTCACATTTGAGAAGCTGGGACCAGTGATTGTTTGGTGTTTTTTCTTGATAAGTGACTGAAATGATTCTTACATTATCAGAATTGTTGTTTAATATAATATATTTTTTAAGTAAAACTGTTTATACCAGGATCTAAAATACTTAATTACAAGTGAAAGTAATCCAATGTAAAAGTACTCATTATGGCCCTTGTCTTCTCTTATTGTATATTTTAAAATTGTTTCATCATTACTGATGCATTCATATGTGAGCAGCATTTTATTGTTGTAGCTGGTAGAATTCATTAACTATATTGTTTGTATAGTTAACGAGAGCGGAGGTACTCAACAATGCTGCATTTGAAGACTTTTCATCCATCGTTTGGAAAAAGTGATTCTTCCTCTCATCAAGTTCTTGCGACCACTAACAGCATTAAGGAAACAACATTAAATGGTTGGCTATTCAAAGAATTGGTTACTTCAGATGAGATTATTGTTACTCTAAGAAGTGAAACCTTTCATTTAAAACTTAGCGGCTAAGCTCTGCGTTTGAGCAAGATGAGATGTGACATACCAATGCCAGCCACCATCCTCAGTATTGCATTAAGTCCTGAAATAGCTAAGGCTTTTCCAGGAGCAGAATGGCCTTTGTTGTTAGCGAGACATTTTCCTGTAACTCCAAGGGCACAGGTTCGATCCCTGCAGTGGGCAGAGTGTCTGAGAACAGCTGTTGTCCCTGAGCAACAGACTGACCATGCTCAGTCATTGTAGCTTAATATCTAAAATATAAATGTAATGCTAACCCAGGAGTGGAACTCCCAGTGGGAGCGCTAACACACATCCAAACACACACACACACACAGTCTCCCCCGTCCCCCCCTGTCCCCACTCTCAACCATGATCTGAAGCGGAGTTATTATCTGTATGAAGTGAGGATTATTTGGCTCTCAGGGTTCAAACATAATGCACGTTATTTCTTGAACATTTAAATACAGAGTCTGGCTGTATGGCTTCATTTGGATCTGTTTGGACTATTACTATCACTTGGAGGGCTTAAGTTAGAGAGAATTAACATGGAATAGTATTTGTTAGAAACATGGACTGTTCCATTAGCTGTTTCACATGTTAGTCTGGATTTATGTAGCACACATTTCATACAATTTAATGCAATGTGCTTCACAATTAAGCAAAATAATAATACAGACTCCGACAACATGAGATTAGAGATGAAGTAGGGATGTTATTTTGCACTAACCAATCAATAGTGACTGACATATCCGTCCCATAGACATCATTTACAGGTGACACAGGAGCGGTCAAGGGCTAGCAGCTGCTAGGAGAATGTTATTTAACATGTAGATCAAAGAAATATGTGGATTTAAGAGTTAATGTGTCTGTACATCGCCTAAAACAACCTGTATAGCAGTGTTGATATCATCTGTTTTCGTGTCCATTTTTCTCTATTTTTTCAAATTCTGGCACAGGAAGATGACGTTCTTAAACCCGCCTACAAAGCTGTGATTTACTCTGTTGTTTTTGCAGCCGGGCCAACAACAACAATGAGCGCAACACCCAACCTATATGAATAAATAAAAGCGCCCGAGCTGTCTTTTTGTGTGGCTTACAATAATGCAGGCCTTTTATGTTTGATCATGCAATAGTGTTTTAGCTTCGTCCAAGGAGAGGAATACACTGACCTTTGCAATAATTCTGAGGTAAAAGATGGCTGTTGTGGCTTCATTTCTAATGCACTGTCCAGATTTATTGTCTGAGTCAAAGACCACACCTGCTATTAAACATTAAAAGCTTTTGATTTAAGGTATGATGTAACATAGTCCTCTTTTTTTTTTTTCTTCCTTTTTCTGATTACCTCAAGCCAAGTTTTATATCTGGAGGAGGACGTTATGTTCGTGTTGCATTTAGAATTAGCTTGTCGTGTGAATTATTATGTCACATTTTTACTTGAGGAATGTAGCTGATGCCCTCATATAAACTGCTTGAAAAGAAACACAGCTGTGGTCTGAGCTTAAATTTGTGGCTTGACATCATTGGAAGCAGAGATCC